GTAATCTTGTTGTTATTTGGTGTGTAGCGTACGGGCGTACTGCCTTTTCGGCGCCCGTGCTCCTACAGCACATCATTGTTTTTTAAACAAAAAATATATGTATATATAAGGATAAAATTTCGAAAAAAAAGATTTTTAAGGCATATTTTTATTTACAAAATTTACTGTATCTTATACACTTAAATGAATTAAATTAGTTTGTATTGGTTAAGTTTAAATGAAAACGAAACTTTATCGTCGTCAATCTCACACCTAACTATGATTAATTTTACCAGGGTGGTGTTTGAATAATAATAATTTTTTGATTTTCGAAATTGCTATTTATTAAAATCGATGCACCAATCGTTGCTAGGCTCTCAACTGCTTGAATTTCATCGTAAATTAGACGTCGTTTTCGTTTCAATAGAAGAATACGGCGTAGTTATTGCTTTCTCATTTTTTTCCAATTTTTTAAGAGGTGGTCTTAATGTACTTTTTAGATAGGAGAAGATAGTAAAACGGATGTGTGCGTCAAAGCAGTTGGGATTGAGACGGTTTTATTTTCCTGTTGGTTTCGTTTTTCGGTAAAAAAAGTTACCACAGAAAAAAATTGCTCACTTTTTAAATTCGTAACATAGGACAAAAAATTCGGTACCTCTCGTGTTCATATATGTAAAATATATCAAGAAAAACGAAAGTATTAAGCGGGGACTGCGCTTCTATTGACGGTCGGTACAGTTACAGAAAAAGAAAATGAAATTATTGCTAACATTTGAAAACGTGAGGTATGGACGATCAATCAAAATTGTAGTTTTTCCGCTTCGTTTTGTTCTTTTTTAATACGGTATTATTATATCTTAAAGATAGAAGAAAAAAGAAAAAACAAAAAGAAAAATAGAAGATATATTGTTAATGTGATAGATTTTTTGATGGTTTTTACAATCACAGTTTTAGTGTGTGTACAAGTCATTTTTAGATACTATTGTCCTTTATGCGCGCCATATAATATTTAACACAACTACTATACATGACTAAAACTTTGGGTGTTAAATGCTAAGCAATAAGTATTTTCAGTCAGTATTGGAGTGAAAAAATGTAATCATTCCGTTTTTAATAAGCGACTTCCTCTACGTATGCATATATATATATTACATATATATGTATACATAATATTGATTAAAAGTAATATTGTAATTATAGTTATTATTATGATAAGATATAGGTTCGGTAATGATGTACGATGTAGTTGCACTTTCCGTTGCTAATTTCGTTTTTATTAATTTTTCGTCTTTCTTGATCAGTCTTAAAATCATTATTACTTTGCTTCATTATCCAGCTTCGGTAAATGAAATTTTCATTAAGGGTCTACGCTATTATTAATTTGCGACAGGTTAAAAGAAAATGTCGGGGAATTTAGGGAAAAACAAAAACGCGTAACAGCCATTATACACTGTTACATGTACGATTATTTACATGGAGTAAAATCATAAAATATTATTCATGGAAAGCGCTTAGAAATCATATGACTTAGAAATGAATGCTGCTTTTAACCTACGCAAATATGTATAGGGCAGTTAAAGGTTAATAATTTTTGCACTTTGAATCAAAAATTGTAATGGAAAGGGAAAAGATTTCGTTAAATTCCACCACAAGATACGAATTCCCTGATTAGATTAAAGCATGAAATGAAGAATAACAACTATAGCCTATCAGGAGATATTTTATCACGTGGTCTTTAGCAAAACATAATCGAAAGTTTAAGTACATATTTAAGACATTTTTTTTTTATTGACAAACAGTTTGTGTGAAGAAGTTGGAATAGAAAAGGTACATATGATACTAATCGATAAAATTGAATTTTTTGGTACAGCAGGAAAATAAACTTCTTCTTTCTGTTGGTGTACGTGTAGCAATATTTAACCGCCCTTCGGAAACATCTCTGGCTGGCTAACAGTCGTAACGAAAAACGAAATAAAAAGAAGTAATAACACTTGATGCTTTCTCTCGTAATTTGTTAGTTGACCGGTGATTTATTGTTATAGAATTTTCTTTTAATTTATACATGCGTGTAAATAATTTGTTGTCAGTGCCATTTTTTCATAGTTTATAAGAAACANTTCTGTTTTTAAATGTATGGTATCGTATTTTTATAAAGAGAGCTCCTTGGGTACATTTCGGTGAATGAGAAGATGGGACGAAATGGACCGATATGGAGTTCACAAAAAAAATATATTAAAACAATCAAACACGTTGGTTTTTACGCCCGACTACTATTACATTGGTACTAACGTTTAGTTAAGTGTTTCGTATAGAGGGTGGTGGAAGAATGAAATTGGTTAAATTTTTTCTTATTTTTATTAAAATTGAGAGGTTCCTTACTACTCAACCTTTGTGGTATAGTTTTCTTGAGGTTTCTTAGAAGTGGGGGGCCGTAATACTTTAGCGCTTTCTTTCCGTTATTATTTACTTTAGAGCATAATTAAAATAAGTTAAGATAGTTTTTGGTCCATAAATAGTTATTCTGGTTTTTTAATAGGCAAAGAGTACTACGTCTGCGATTTCAAGGGTCACAATGTGGTCGTTTTCAGCGAAGATGGCGCTTTCATTCGTCGAATAGGTTGCGAGAATTTAACCAACTTTCCGAATGGGATAGACATTTCAGACGCCGGTGACGTCCTAATAGGTGATTCTCATGGGAATCGCTTTCATGTGGCGGTATTTTCCCGTGACGGTTCTCTTATATCTGAGTTCGAGTGCCCCTACGTGAAGGTAAATCAAGTTTGAATGCACTAATAGCACGTATGATTGTAGAAAAATGGGGGGGGGGGTATCTTGCAATGTGATAGTTTAAGGTTGGAATTAGAATTTATTTTCGAGATTTTCCATGCCTATGGTATTATCCTCGTTATCAATTAAGGGTACAATAAAGGGGCAATTGATATTTTATGAAAGCACCTTTAAGGGAAGGGGTGTAGAAAATTGTTTAGTAAAATAGAGAATTTATTTTTTTTGCGTAGGTTTCTCGTTGCTGTGGTTTGAAGATTACGTCTGAAGGTTACGTGGTGACGTTGGCTAAAAATAATCACCATGTTCTTGTACTGAATACCCTGTACATCTTGTAGAGCGACTACTAAAGAGCAGGTCGCACTATAACTGCCCAGCAGTACAGCAGCTGAGCGCAAGTAAAGATTATGATTTTAAAAATGAAATCGGTATATGATCTCTCCTCTCGCACTTTTATTTAATTTTAATTAATCTGAAGAACTGATCTTGTCTTAGCGTTATTATTATTAATTGTTTATTATTTTTACTATATATATTACTTTAAAAACATTTGCATAGAACAACAAACGTGCAAAATGTTTTAACAGCATCGTTTATACACACGTATATATTTTTTTTTTGGTATTTGTTGTTATTAATTAATTGATTGATTGGTTTAAATAGTCGGATCGCATTTCTATAGACTTGGTAGTACTATTATGATCCAAAGTTTTTTCCTTTTTTTATATAAGTATACAAATGAACGCGATAATTTTATTATTATTACTACTAATTAATATTATTACTTTATTTACATGCAGATACGTATAGCCATTGCTTTTGCAGTGTTGTTGATTATTTTTTTTTCTTA